AAAAAAAAGAAGAAAATAATAAATACCCCTTAAAACCCAAGTGTACATATTTAACCCAGTGTGACTCCAATGCAATAGACAATCCTTAGCAATAATATGAGAACATGACAAGTAATGTTGGTAGAAATTCAGACAAAGACCTGAGAAACATGACAAAGTACAACAATGGGTTTTTGTCCTGAACATCACTTTGTTTATGATTAAAATAAACTGTCTGTAATGATAAGTTAAACTTAAAAAACCCCAACAGTTTACTAATTTTAGTGTTAAATCACCAAAATGTAAAAGTATATATCTACCTTATTAGCAAAATAAATTTCAATATCAAAAGCGAAATGATACATATAAAAGTCATGCAACAACCACCTAGATATTATATGGTGCATCAAGTAAAATGGAAGCACACTCAATGTTATGATCCTGCTCAAAAATTATAATGTAAAATGAATCCATTGAACTCAGAGCTTGTAAAAACAAATGCGACGACTAAAAGGACTCCCACAGCAAAGTATGTGGTGCAGGCTGATTTAACAATAAGAGCATTAAAAACCATGCAACCAAATGCATGCACATAATGTTCAGGACAAAAACCCAGTTTTTGTGGATTTGCTTCCATACATAACCACAGTGGGATGCAAATCAATCAGTCAACATGTGATTGAAGTGCTTGCTTTCAGCTTTAATTCAAGAGGTTTTACAAAAATGTTTCATGAACTGTTTTAGAATTAAAGTCATTTTTATACAAAGTCCCCAGTTTGAGAACTTAAAAAATTATTGGACAATTGACTAATAAGCAGTTTCATGGCCAGGTGAGTCTTTTCCCTTGTTATTTCATGAAAAATGTTCAGACATAATATATTGATTTGATTTAAGAAGTCAAGAATTTTATAGCTTTTTGCCTTAATTTTAAATATGAGACTCAACGAGACATTAATGTATACAAGCGAGGCCTTTATTATGCTGAAAAACACAACCAGCCCTTTAAAGAAACAGCAAAAACTTCAGAAATGACCATTGTAGTGTTTCCAGCTCAGCCACACCAAACAACCTTAAACGCAATGAAATACAAGTGCATGCTGACAAAAATTATTTCTGTGGTGA